GCGCCCGCCGCACTTCCCAAGCGGCGCACTGTAGCAGTGCGCCACCGGGCCGGCCCTATTTCCTTCCTTCTGCTTGTCTTAGGTTTAGTTTTTCTCTTCTTTTTCCAGTTTCTTAAGGTCAAAGGTTATGTTATTGATTTGAGATCTTTCTCCTCATTTAATGTAGATGTTTATAGCTATAAATTTCCCTTTGCGTACAGCTTTCCTATTATGTTAAATTTTCTGGTGTACCATTTTAATTACCTTGTGATTTCTTTTACTATATATATTTTTAGTTATTTTCTTAGTGGTTGTCCTGGGGGTTATCATTAACATCTTAATTCATGATAATTTAGTTCAGATTAATACCAATCTCAGTAGTATACAAACATACTGCTCTTTCAGAGCTCCATCACCCCCACATGGTGTTATTCTCATGTTACAGCTCTATACATTTGTGCCCATCCACATCGATTTATAATTAGTTTTAAGCAGTTCTCTTTTAGAAAAAAATCAAATACAAACAAAAAATACATTTATGCTGTCTTTTATATTTATGTAGTTCCCTTTACTGCAGCTCTTTATTTGTTCACGTGAATTCAAGTTACTATCTCGTGTCCTTTCATTTCAGCCCAAAGCACAGGACTGTGGCGCGGGCCTGCCTGTCTCTGCTCATCTGAAGATGTCTTGGTTTCTTCCTCACTTTTGAAGAATGGTTTTGCCGTATGCAGAATTCTTGGTTAACAGTTTTTTTTCTCTCAGCACTTTGAATATATCATCCCACTGCTTTCTGGCCTCTGGTTCTGATGAGAAAGTCACTGTTAATCTTTGAGGGTCCCTGCGTGTGGTGAGTCCCTTCTCTCTTGCTGATTTCAACATTTTCTCTTTGTCTTGAAGTGAAAGTGTGTTACGATGTGGTCAGTCTCTGAGTTTGTCGTGCTTGGAGTTTACTGAGCCTCTCATATGTGTAAATTCACATTTTTTTATCAGACTTGGGAGGTTTTCCGACACTGTTGCTTCAGCCACCCTTCCTGCCCCTTCCTCTCCTCCACTCTGCAGCTCCCGTTGTGCACGCTTCGGTCCCAGCCACAGATCTCTGAGGCTTTCTTGCCTTCATTCCTTTTCCGCTTTGCTCCTCAGATTGAATAATCTCAATTGACCTGTCTTCAAACAACTGAAATCTGCTTTGAACTCCTCTAGAGAATTCTTAATTTCAATCATTATACTTTTTATCTTGATTTTCTATTTGGTCCCCTTTTACGATTTCGTTCCTTTTCCTGATATTCTCCACTTTGTGAGGTGACGTCCTCACACTTTCCTGTCGTCCTTTCAAGTGGGGTCTTCCGAGGAACCACCAGACGTATAAAAACAGACAATTCCAGTCCGTGGCACGTGAGTCTGCTCTGCTGCCTCTGGTACCGGGAGTGCGGCCTGTTGTTTTTCGAGGCTGCCATGGAGCTGGGAAGCAGGGGGTGAAACTAACTGCAGCAAGTTAAGGTGCCACAAAGCTCACCATTCTTCCCAAGATCCAGGATTTTACGTGTCCCGCTCGTTGCTTGGCTCTCCTGATATGAGTGGGCTGCTCAGGGGCAGAACTTATAAGTTTTCTTCACGCTTGTATTCCTAGTTTCTACCACGCAGTAGGGGCTCCATGAGCTTGTTGAATGAGTTTCTGGCTGTCAGCCTGTGATTCTGAGAGTGCGAAAGTGTGGGCAGGCGTGGCTGTGCAGCGAGGGTACAGGTGAGTGTGCAGGTGAATATGCAGGTGGGTGTGCAGGTGACTGTGCAGGCAGGAGTGCAGGTAACTGTGCAGGTGAGGGTGCAGGTGAGGATACAGGTGACTGTGCAGGTGGGAGTGCAGGTGACTGTGCAGGTGAGGATACAGGTGAGGGTGCAGGTGAGGATACAGGTGAATATGCAGGCGGGTGTGCAGGTGACTGTGCAGGCAGGAGTGCAGGTGACTGTGCAGGTGAGGGTGCAGGTGAGGATACAGGTGACTGTGCAGGTGGGAGTGCAGGTGACTGTGCAGGTGAGGATACAGGTGAGGGTGCNGGGAGTGCAGGTGGATGCGCAGTTGGGGGTGCAGGTGAGGGTGCAGGTGGGAGTGCAGGTGGGTGTGCAGGTGACTGTGCAGGCAGGAATGCAGGTGACTGTGCAGGTGGGAGTGCAGGTGACTGTGCAGGTGAGGGTGCAGGTGAGGATACAGGTGAGGGTGCAGGTGAGGATACAGGTGAGGGTGCAGGTGAGGATACAGGTGACTGTGCAGGTGGGTGTGCAGGTGAGGGTGCAGGTGAGGATACAGGTGAATATGCAGGTGGGTGTGCAGGTGACTGTGCAGGTGGGAGTGCAGGTACTGTGCAGGTGAGGATACAGGTGAGGGTGCAGGTGAGGATACAGGTGAGTGTGAAGGTGGGAGTGCAGGTGACTGTGCAGGTGGGAGTGCAGGTGACTGTGCAGGTGAGGGTGCAGGTGAGGATACAGGTGAATATGCAGGTGGGTGTGCAGGTGACTGTGCAGGCAGGAGTGCAGGTGACTGTGCAGGTGAGGATACAGATGAGGGTGCAGGTGAGGATACAGGTGAATATGCAGGTGGGTGTGCAGGTGACTGTGCAGCTGAGGATACAGGTGAGTGTGCAGGTGGGAGTGCAGGTGGATGCGCAGTTGGGGGTGCAGGTGAGGGTGCAGGTGAACTTGCAGGTGGGTGTGCAGGTGACTGTGCAGGCGGGAGTGCAGGTGAGTGTGCAGGTGAGGATACAGGTGAGTGTGCAGGTGGGAGTGCAGGTGGATGCGCAGTTGGGGGTGCAGGTGAATATGCAGGTGGGTGTGCAGGTGACTGTGCAGGTGAGGATACAGGTGAGTGTGCAGGTGGGAGTGCAGGTGAGGGTGTAGGCGAGGGATGTGACTGTGGTTGTTCAAGCCTGGTGTAATCAGGGCCCACAGGCTGACAGCAAGATGCCCTCCCTGCCTCCCTCACAGAAGCGGATGCAGCAGATCATGGCCCACTGTTTCCTGGCCGTCAAATCCAAGCTCCAGTGCAAGCTGGGTTACTTCGACCTCATTGGCTGTGACTTCCTGATTGATGAGAACTTCAAGGTGCTGTCCTGGGTGGCTGGGCCTGGTAGGCAGGGGCCATCGCACGCTCTGACCACACAGGAGGGCCCCGGGGTGGGCTCTGCATTCAGATCCCACCCTGCCTGCACCCAGCCCTGGTGGAGGGGGTGTCCCCGAGGCTCAG